GTAGAGAGAAAGACAGAGAAATAGGATAAAGGGAGAGAGAAGCAGAGAGAAAGAGGCAAGTAACGAGAGACAGAGAAAATTAGAGGGAAAGAGAGAAATTGAAAGAAACAAAGAGAAATAGAGGGGGAGAGAGAGAGAGAGAGAGAGAGAGAAAGAGGGGGGAGAGAGACATTTGAAAATATCACTCAATTAAGTTTAAAAGGAAAAACTTTTTCAATAACGAAATAACATTGGTCACTGAGTCACGTGCAAAAATTTATTGTCATTTAGGAACGGTGAAAAATAGAGAAAGACACGGGGAAGTAACAGAGAGAAGAGAGAAGTAGAGGGAAATAGAAAGAAGTAAAGAGACAAAGAGAAGGAAGAGTAAGGGAGAGAAATAAAGGGAAATAAAGACAAAAAGGCTATTAAATGGAAATAAATGGAAATAAAGAGAAATACAGAGAAATAATGATAAATAGAGAGATAAAGAGACAAAGAGAAATAAAAGGAAATAAAGAGAAATAAAGAGAAAGAAGAAGAAATGAGAAAAAATAAGGAGAAATAAAGAAAAATAAATGGAAATGAAGAGAAATAAGGAGAAATAAAGAGAAGTAAAGAGAAATAAATGGAAGTAAATAGAAATAAAAGAAAATAAAAGGAAATAAAGGGAAATAAAGGAAAATAAAGAGAAATAAAGAGAAATAAGGAAAAATAAAGACAAATAAATGGAAATAAGACGAAATAAGGAGAAATAAAGAGAAATAAAGAGAAATGAAGAGAAGTAAAGAGAAATAAAGAGAAATAAAGAGAAATAAAGAGAAATAAAGAGAAATAAAGACAACTAAATGGAAATAAGGCGAAATAAGGAGAAATAAAGAGAAATAAAGAGAAATGAGGAGAAATAAAGAAAAATAAAGAGAAAGGAGGAGAAATAAAGAAAAATAAAGAGAAAGGAGGAGAAATAAAGAGAAATCAAGAGAAATAAAGAAAAATACACAGAAATAAAAAGAGACAGAGTAAAGTAGAGGGGGAAATAGAGGGAAGCAAAGAGGAAGGGAAATGACTAGAGCGAGATAGAGAGATGGTGATCGAAAGAGAAATAAAGAAAGAAAGAATAAGAGAAGTAGGGAGAAATATAAGAAAAAGATAGAACCGATGAGAAAGAGAGGTAAGCACGGAGAAAGAGGCAGCGAACGGGCGACGCGGTACCGGCGAAAACGAACGTCCCTGACGAAGTCGCGTTATTTTAGCTCTCCCCGGAGAGGACCTTCGAGGCATCGAAAATCTCATGGAAGCATCGTCGTGGGGCAAAAAGGGGGAAAAGAAGGGGGGCGCTATATAGGCGGGGCGAGGGGAGGGTATGCAAGCGGCCCGATAAGCCCGAGGAATCGATATTCGAGCCGAGCGCGATCCTCGTGGCCCGTTCCCGACAGGACGCTGATAATCGGCCTGGAAATTCCGACGTGGTGTGCGCGCGCGAGAACCTGCCCGCCGACGAGTCACGGTATATAGTGCCACTAATTATTACACCGGTGCCGCTCGTTAACGCACGCCCGTGTAAATCTGCGCCGGGGAAAAAGTTCCGTACGAAGAGGCGTACTCTCTTCCTTCCACCTTCCTACCCCCCGCCTCGTACCCCGCGCTTCCCTCTTACGCGTTCAATTAATATACCGGGTGAGATTAATCACTTAAGCTTATTGATCAGCTCAGGCTGTCGGGAACGATTTTGTTCCGGCGCGTTCGACGTTTCGGGCGGACCGACGCCGCACAGTTGGGCGCAGTGACGAAATTCTGTCGAAATCGAAAAATTTTTGATACGATATAAAGCGATGATCTTTTTTTCTTACGTTAAAGCTGAAATGTTGCAAAATAAGGGAGAAATAGGGAGAACGCGGTACGAACATTTTTCAACCTTGATGAATGTTAAACTTAAAATATTCCAAATTGTGATTTATCCAATACCGCATGTACAGTTAGATCTTTTTTTATTACATGCTATGCATCATTTCCCGTAGATTCTGACACGCCGTTCTCAAATACGGTTGCAAAATTTATCTACCATTTCAGGATTTTGGACAAAATGTCGATGTATGTGAAAAGACTAAAAAAGTTGTGATTATTTCGTTGAAATGATTTGATAACCCGCTGATTTTATCTCAAAATCCTGTAGTAGTAGGTAAAGTTCGCGCGTCAAAAATTGCGAGAAATAATGTATAACATGTCATCGAAAAAAATTCAACTGTACATGGTATTGGATAAATCACAATTTGGAATACTTCAAGTTTAACGTAAATTTTCAAGGTTAAAAAATGTTCATACTACATTCTCTCCATTTTCCCTTATTTTGCAACATTTCAGCCTTAAGAAAACGATCGTCGCTTTATCTCAATTTTATAAAAAGTTCTTTGGTTTTTTACACGTCTTCGTCATTGCACCCCACTGTGCGCCGCCGCCGATAGTCGAGTCGCACGAATTTTTTTCGATTCTCTGGGCCTGTGTATCGTGATTTTTTTTTTGAATGTTGTTTCCGTTGTTTCGATTCGATATTATTCATCTGTAGAGTTTCAGTGTCCATGGAAAATGTCAAATGGGAGAACAGTAAATTGCGGTATTTTCGATTAGTTCAAATTATCGAACAAATATAATTGATTTGGAACACTCTTGTGTTTTGATCGAAGATCTGTAGCCTAATATAGTTCTGTCGAGAATTTTTGAAATTTTTTCATTGTCCGAAATATACTGTTTTTATTCGATGTTGCTTTGATCGACGATTATACGATTTATGATTTTTGGTTAGCGATGGATATTTTTATATGTTATTTCTAGAATTATACGAAAATGGACCGTTTTAAGCGAATTGATTTATTGTATTAGTTATTGATCAGCGGGGCACACAAAATATTTTCGTTGTAATATTTTGGAAATTTAGGAGTGCTTGTAAGCGCGAGATTAAAACTTACAATATTTGTAATATATCTTTTCTAATTTTTCTCAGAGTTTATGTTTGCGTGTTTCTTGGTATGTACGATCGAAGCAGCAGTTCTTTCAATAAAATTGTATTGGAAAGACCTCTGCGGAGAAGAACCCATTCTAAAATTACCAAAAACATATAGGCTGATTCAAAATGAATGGCTTTACTGTGTAAACGATTGCAAGATAAAATCCTGAGATTTTCCCCAACAAATGTCCACAGAAATGAAAATGTCACGTGTACTTTGGATACACCGTACGCAGTGATCCAACGCTTAGGATAAGTAGAGACAGTGCGTCAAAGACTGCCGATTAGGTTTCATTAATTGATTAGGTTTAATTAATCTCAACAATCTCGAATTGTGAAATTGAACGAGAGATGATCACGTGAAATATATTCGGCTGAGGTAAAAAAAAACGAAATTAATACTTATTTAAAAAACTCAATTACACATTCGTAAAATGCACTAATAACAAGTTAATGCATAAAATGGAAACACTGTAGGTCAATATAATATAAATATAATGTAAATATAATGTAAATATAGTGTAAATATAATGTAAATATAGTATAAATATAATATAAATATAATATAAATACAATATAAATGTGATATAAATATGATATAAATATAATATAATATAAATATAATATAAATGTGATATAATATAAATATAATATAAATATAATATTAATATAATATAAATATAATATTAATATAATATAAATATAATATTAATATAATATAAATATAATATAAATATAATATTAATATAATATAAATATAATATTAATATAATATAAATATAATATTAATATAATATAATGTAATATAAATACGTGTGTCTGTGTTCAGTCTTGTCATTGTCATGAAACAACACATCTTATTTACTTTTAGCGATCAGTATATTGACCGTTAACCCCCTAAATCTATTTCGGATTTAGAATTAAAATAGCTTAGAGCGCAAACGAGTAAACGCCGAACATACTGACCACTCCAAATAACATAATATGTGTCTTATCCATAACGATGATAAGACTGAACGTATTTATACATTCCACCGTTTCTATCGTAATCTACACTTGCATAAAAGAATCTTCGCAATTTCAACGACGTTCGAATGAAAACTGTGAAACCGGTCATTTCGGCCTACAGGCTCAGAATGTTAAACAAAATCCTGTTGACATTGTTAGGGTCGCTGGGTAGCCGAAGTGAAAATGTCAATGCCCAGCATCATGCGTCGGCCACGCCCCGCATAGTCCAAGTTTAAGCATACGACAAAAAGGGGCGCGCACCAATACCATTTCCATTATTGTCCAGAAATCGCCTGCATCAGGGAATATTCCTGACAAAAGCAATCTACGAATCCGAGCCGTCGCGGTAAAAAAGATTAATGCAGAAGGGTTAACGTGTCTGAGTTTTTACATCTCCCTCTTAGCCGTCTCAGCGTGGCCGGCCCTCCCCGCGTCCCCGGCTCCACCGCCAGCCATCGTTCATCGAAGACTCGAAACGGTCGATGATGAAGTTTCAACCGTCTGCCACGCGGTTTTTCCTTTCCTTTTCTCGTTCTCCCTGATCCTCCGCGTTTCTCCCCCTCAACCCCAGACCACTAGCCCACCTTCCTCTTCCTATTCGGTCCCTCTCCCTGTCCCGCTTCCGACGTTCCGACCCGAGCAACCGGCGCCCACCGGTCGGCCGAGGTGTGTTCCGGAACCGGTCTCGTCTCTTTCCTTCCCGCGGATCGCTGCCGGCTCATTAGCAGGTGATCAATTAAAAATTCGTTTGTTTTCGCGGTCTCGGGCAAGGGCGCCGCCCACCGAGCCCCGGCTCGTGACGCGCCGCGCCGGTGGGTCGCCGAGGGTCGGGGCGAGTCGGAGAGGGTTAGAGAGTCGGGAGGGGTTCGAACCAGCAACCCCCCCTCCCCCCGATGACGCTTGATGCGCCCCACCGGAAACCCGGTGGGCGGAGAGGGGGGCAGGGGTGCGGAATAGTTGGGGACTGGCAGTTTAGTGGCGACTGGAATACGGGAACGCGATATGGGTAATTTATATCGCAGGCTTTGCACGGTTTTCAAGCGATCCGGGAACGGCCGAGTTTTGCGGTCAGGGGACCCCGCGTGCTCCGTGTCGCGTGGGTCACGCTATTTACTCCAAGTAAGATCTCCTCGTTTTTTTCTTTTTTCTGAAAGGGCGACGAAAGATTGATGGTCAGCCGGCCACGATAAAAACGAGCCTGTTGATAAAGAAAATTTCACCGGTGCTCCCGTTTCCCGTGTTTCTGCCCGCAATCTTCTGGAACTAATTGTTTCGTGCGGTTTATTTATCATTTCGTATATATACGTATATATACGAAATGATAAATAAACTAGGCAAATAGACAACTAGACGCGCAGGAACGTAACGCTAGATTTACGGAACCCGTCAAAATGGCGGGTCGCTAATTTTTTAATTTGCGATTATTCGTATCGTAAAGATGCGTTTATCAATTATTTGTTCTATTTATATGTTACTCGCGGCAAATGTTACAATAACGCTTGTTAAAAATCAGAATAAATGTCTTATAAACTAATGAAAGTGTTTTAACTTTTATAAACTAATATAAAACAGCTGCTTTTGGTGCTCCGTAAATGTATAATACAAACATGTATTTTCTTTCTGAATAATTTTGATGGGACGAACGTATTACAATACAGTAATGTCTCCCTTACTGACGCTCAGATTGTCCACTAAAATGGATAATTTGGGAAGAGGAGATACGATTATTCGAGCCCGGCGGCTCGTTTTTATAATTGTGGACAATTTATAACTACAAAAATAAACCGCAAGGCTCGAATAATCGTATCTCCTCTTCCCAAATTGTCCATTTTTGTGGTCTTTAACCCGTTGCACTCGAAGCTGTTTTAACTCTAAATATAGAATCATTTTTCTAACTTATAGTATTTCTATTATACGTGACAAAATGCATTTCATGCGCATGAAATTGACTCTTGGGACTCGCGCAATAATTGCACTCTTAGCAATCTTTTAAATCAAAATTTTGTTAACATAAAAATTATCTTGAAACGTGATATAACGAATTTTAGTGGTGCCTCAGGCGCAAAGGGTTAAATATCTTAGAGGTCTACTCATTTGATCTACTCATTTTTATCGTGAATGCGTAATTTACCATAACCATTCTAGGAAAAATTGAAAAATCAATTGAGAAAGAATAAGCTGTATGACGCTGAATGCGCTTTAAATTGCGATTTTTCTTGCATTTTTGCAGATCCTAACCACAGTGGAGACGACGATAAAAAGGAGACGCTTGATGAAGAAAGTTTCAATTTTATTCACCTTCTTTGAATTTTTGCTGACAGTCTTCACAAGAGAACTGTTGTATCGGAATCGTTACTATTTCTTGTCCTCATTAATTATCACAATTGAACAAACGTGTATTGGAAAAGAATTTTCGTACAAATATTGTTGTAGCAGAAAGAGAATAAAATAGTCTTTTAACATCTTCAAAGACACTCCAACATTTATCATCCCATGATGACTCCCTCCACTGCCTTAATGGAGGGAGAAAAAATAGGCTGTTAACACTTTCATTGCCACTCCAGCAATCTCAAAAATACCGTAAAGTTAAGACAATTTATTCAACGAAAGCGTCGAGATGTACGACACTGAATGCTCTTTGGATTTTCTTGCGTTTTGCAGATTTTAATCCCGGTAAAAAGAAGGCTCTTGATAAAGCAAATTTTATTCTTGATCACCTTTTTTTAATTTCTGCCGACAGTCTTCGGAAGAGAATTGTTATTATTTAAATGAACACTGGAACTAACGGATCCTTCAAAATAACAAATTTTGGATTCTCTATTTTACAACTATTGAGTCTGTAAAAAAAGGTTTCGGTAGCAATTACAGAATATATCTGTTTTTTTTTCAGAAGAATGTACAGTAATTTCTTTCTAATTGACTCCCAGATTGACCACAAAAATGGACAATATAGGAAGAGGAGTTACGATTATTCGAGGCTTGCGGTTTATTTTTATAGTTATAAATTGTCCACAATTATAAAAACGAGCCGCAAGGCTCGAATAATTGCATCCCCTCTTCCCAAATTATCCATTTTAGTGGACAATCTGAGCGTCAGTAAGGGAGACATTACGTCAACGTATCATTACAGTAATGTCTCCCTAACTGACGCTCAGATTGTCCACTAAAATGGATAATTTGGGAAGAGGAGATACGATTATTCGAGCCTTGCGGTTCGTTTTTATAGTTACGAAGTGTCAACAATTATAAAAAACGAGCTACGAGACTCGAATGATTATTCGATTGTACGATTGTATCTCCTCTTCCCAAATTATCCATTTTAGTGGACAATCTGAGCGTCAGTTAGGGAGACATTACTGTAATGATACGTTGACGTAATGTCTCCCTTACTGACTGTCTCTTATACACATCTAGATGTGTATAAGAGACAGTCAGTAAGGGAGACATTACGTCAACGTATCATTACAGTAATGTCTCCCTAACTGACGCTCAGATTGTCCACTAAAATGGATAATTTGGGAAGAGGAGATACAATCGTACAATCGAATAATCATTCGAGTCTCGTAGCTCGTTTTTTATAATTGTTGACACTTCGTAACTATAAAAACGAACCGCAAGGCTCGAATAATCGTATCTCCTCTTCCCAAATTATCCATTTTAGTGGACAATCTGAGCGTCACTAAGGGAGACATTTCTGTACTTTGCAATCAAAATCGTGTTCTTTCTTGATAATTACGGTCCAATTATTTTTACAGAACAAGGCAAATACTTTGCCCGCGCTATATCAGTTTTCCTGCGAAATGATGCAGTTAGTTTTACATAGCAAACATACGAAAAGCACGTACCAACCGACTGATGACCGCGAAACGTTTCTAACTAAAAATAAAGAGAATTACAATTAAGTAATTGCGATGCAAGTTTACATTGTTGCAGATACATATCGCGCAATAAAAATCGAGTTATTCTCGACATTCTCCGTTTCTTCATTCTCCACTTTCAGAAAACTAAAATGTTTTTCGGAAACTGTATCTTTCCGTGAAGGTTGTATTTCGGGAGCTTTCCGAAATTTTTCGACGTTACAAAATCGAAATCTAATCGCAGTTAACAATTGAACTGCATAGCTTTATGCGAATTACTATTTCTACACGCAAGCATCTTTACTTAATACGTAAAGATAAAAAAACGACGTGATAATAACGTCGAAAGAAATGGCCACGCAATTAACGATCAAAAGATATTACGAATATATTATGAATATCCGATGATCGAGGCAACTTTGTTGCTGTGTCCGGGCGAAAAAAAGAAATTTACTGTACCGAGCCTCATTACGGTTAATAAACGGGTATGAACGACGGCATTTCAGGTTACACGATGACGCCGCGTCGGGAATATTTTTAGTGAGACGGCGCGTGCACCCGATCAATCACGACCCAGAAAAACTTTCGACGAAAATTTGAAGTCGGTCGCGCGGTGGTGCGTGTTGCGTTCACGAAGGGGAATTAGCGGCGTTCGTGATAAACCCAACGAAGCGACAGATGGTGAAATTTCAGGTAGCGTGACTCTCGCCGCGCTGTTCAACGAGCTTAGCGAGAAAGTGAACTTCTGACAAATGCAAACAGGTCTAATGTCGCTGCACCCGCGCGGGTCACACCGAGAGCTGTCTGAATATGCGACGCGGCCTAAGCGCGGAATTTATAGCGTACAAGCTGTTGAAAAAAGAAGGAATCGTTTGATATTTGTATAGGGACACGCTGTACCGAATAAAAAAGCCTCGGCGAACACGGGTCGGAAAGTCAAGCGTTTCTGATACAAACATTTTTCTATGTTAGCTTCGCGATGGCTGGACTCCGTGGATTTTTGGCCGAATTATTTATTTATTATTTTATTATTATTCGAAATTGCCCGATTTATTTGCAAGATACGGAAGCTTCGTGGATATTTCTCTCTGCCTTTGACCATTTTATCGAATAGAAAAAATAATGTAACAGTATGTTTTTGTTATCGATCATGTTAGGCTCGTTACGAAACTTTGAAGCGTAATGCACCGAATGTGCTCGTTTTACACGTTTTGTTAAATCCAAAACGAATTTATCCTCCGGCTGTTATTATTTAAGCGCCAAAATGAAGGTTACCGTACAATAAATATAAATGTTCTTTCTCGTACACGAATTTATTGGAGACGAAGCAGTGCTATGTCGAACCAGACTCGATATTGGTTTTTACACAAATAGTTCCTTATTTTTTTGTATACAAATTTTGTTAATATTTTTTAACTGTTCGAAACAGTTTGTAACATAATTTTGTTACGACGATGTGGGACCAAGAAAGGCTGACTTCTCAGTTATGGTTAACAGTAGTTAACAAAAAGAACATCAACAAATCGCTGAGATATCTCAAAGAAGATAGGCACTAGACGTACAATACGACCTTCAATTAGAGTTGTAATTAGTTATAAATAGATAATTCAGTTCAAAGTTATCATATTAATTTTCAAATGAAAATACGATATATAATTTGTCCGATTATAGGAGTTAACGCAGACACACTATAAATATAAACTTGTTTACATTTTTAAGGATATGTTGTCGACGAGGAAAAAAGATCCTGTTGGTTTTATAATGGCTCTTTCACCGACTTACGATAACAATTTTTATAATAATTTATTTGTATACATGCACGGGACGACTCTGTGTAACACGGACAACGTAAAAGCAATTCTACAAGTATAATTATAAAAGAATATAGAAAAGAAATGATGATAAAAAATAAAAAAAAATAAAAAAAATATATATATAAGTGAGTAAGTATGGGAGACATTACTATATATATAATAATATAATAATATAATATACATATAAATAAAATAAAAAATAAAAAAAAGATTNTAATAATATAATAATATAATAATATATATATAATATAAAGTAAAATAGGAAACAAAAAAAATAATAATAATAATAGTAAAAATAAAGATAAGGGATAAGTGAAAGAATAAAACAATCTCACACACCTCCACTGTTTGATTGATATTTACGATAGTAAATTAAATATAATATTATATAGTATATAAATATATATTATATATAATATTATATAGTATATAAATATATATTATATATAATATTATATAGTATATAAATATATATTATATATAATATTATATAGTATATATAGTATTAAATATATTGTGTATAATATATA